CACACACAGAAAGTAAGAAGAAATGTTGTGTGAGAAGTGAAGAATGCCCACGAAAATCTAAAAGTTCTTCAGTAGTGAAGTGGATGTAGTGCTGTAGGTAATGGAGAGCCGGTTCGGAGCGTCAGTAACATGACACACTATTACTCCTTTTAATAATTGATTAATTCAGAAATCAATAATACTTATGAAATAATTGTTAAAATAATGATTGATTACTAAAATTGCAATATTAAATAATTATTTTAAACTTATAAATTATGGTATTGTAATTTAAATCCTATCATATACTGCAGAACTAAGAAAATGCAATAAGCAATTATTCTGCAGAAACTTGTCCTTGTGCTGTTGAGTGCGTGCGGATTCTGCTCTTTCCTAAGCACAAATCCCAAATAATAAACATTGATGAATGTCAGAATCTTAGCGAAATCCGCGTGGGTGATGAATGAGGCCCGTTGTTCGCAGGCCTGCTGCCTAGCTCTGGCTAGATGTTTTACTGAGATGACAGACCATTAGGACAGTGACTGCAGTCTTCCCTTCTCCATGATCCAGACCGAGGCTGAACTGGGGGTTGGTGTCTTGTTTAGTAACATCACATGCTTGGTTGGCTTCAGTGTCGACTTGAGGAATCGGACTCACCATGTGTCAGTCAGCTTAGGTCCAGGATTAATGCCACCAGCTGGTCGTAAAGTAAGTTTAATGAAACCTATGGTCTCCTCGCAACCTAGATTTATTCACTTTGCTGATGAGTAGCAACTGGCTTAAGAAAATCTAGCGCAGGCTTCTGTTTTTAACCAGAGATGCACAGATGGGGTGGATGAAAAGCAAGCACGGGGTTTTTCTAAATATTTCGGAAGTTCTGCTTTTCCACTGGGAATGCGATCTGGCCGCCATTCTCCTCGGCGTAACGTTTTTTTTTTTTTAAATATGTGCTCTGAATCAGTAATTATGCAAGCAAGTCTTCATCCTACCCACTCTGCTCCCTCTGTGGATCGCAAACTCTCTTGTTCTGGAACCTTCCGGTCTACCAAATGCTGCAATTATTTCACTATCAAAAAAAGGCAAAAGTGTAGGCCGTGTTAGAACTGCCGAGGGGGGATATGAAAATTCAAATTACTGCCCGCGCTGGGTCATGGGTGCTGTGCTTGGTGCCGGGATAATTGCTCTCTGCAGAGTTGAAGTGGTTGCTGACCGTGGTCCTGAGACACTGTATGTCTGTTTGCGTAAATTTG